TGCGGGGATGTGGACTCGGAGAATTTCAGTGATGGTGAGGAGGGTGGAGTCAGCCTCAGAACTGTTTGCACTTACTCCGAAGTGGAAGGGATGGGGTCCCGCTAGTGGGGGGGCCCAAGAGGACAAAACCTAACGTTTGGCAGTGACTCCACGGGCTCGGCCGCGGTCAGGCGCGGGGCTCTGTGAGGGACATGAGTTGTTCCCTTGGAGAAGAAGTGTAAGCGGAGTCCGCGGCTCTTCCTCCAAATCTCAGCAGGGTCGGCCAGCCTCCCGGTTCTGTGAGCGAAGTTTCTGCTGAGCTGGAGGCGGGCAGAGTTCTGCCCTGCCCTCCAGGCACCAAGCTGGCCCGAGCTAGTGGGCAGCCCCCACACTGACCCCGCAGGAGGGAAGACCCTTTATGATTTCAGTTCTGCACACTTGCACGCAGGGGTGAGGCTCTGTCTCTGGAGGCAGGGCTGGCTCCGTTGATCCCGGAGACACGGACACCATTCCAGGATTGGTGGAAACCCAAAAGTCCAGTTGCCAAAAACGTGCACCGTTTTATCCAGCGGACCTAAAATCGCTGGATGGGTCTGTCTCTCAGGGCAATGAGGTCATTTGCTGTGTGCACTTTATTTTCCTAATGTGCTTTCTGGGCAGATGGTGACTTCACGTTCCTCTGGACATGGCTGTGCTTGGTTGGGCTGCGGTGGGCGTTGGGATTACTACGTAGGAGGACCACAGTATTGGTTGACAGGCTTCACGGTAAAGCGACAAAAAGATCTACGATTTGAGGAGACCCGTGGGGGGAGGGGAGTTTAAGTGGCAGTCAGAAGTTAAGACCGTCTGTTGCTTAAATGCCGAGGTTTTCTGTTCTTGCCCATGTCAGCAGGCATGAGAAAGAAAACCTGGGAGGTTTCAGAAACTACTCGGTTCTTGGAAAAGAAATGCAGATATGTTTATTTACATACTCTTAGCATCTCCTTTGTCTCCGGTCGTTCTCTGGAAAAGAAGGGGAAAAAAGCCCTAAGGTTCAAGGAAATTGAAACCAAATTCTACCTGTTGAGGAGTCTGTCAGGCTCCGCTGCCCGGCAGCTCCTCCCCCCACCCACTGGGGCTCGCTCTTCCCGGGTGAGGAAGTGGAGCCTGGGAGGAGAGAGTGTTCCCCGAGCCCCAGGGGAGTGCACCTGCCCTGGGCGCGTCCCACGGAGAGCACGGAATCTAGCTGGACGCTGGGTTCTCCAGCCAGCCTCAGAGAGGCCTGTGTTCCTGTCACCTAGAGCCGCAGGCCGTCACCACATGGGGCTGGCCCCTGGGTGGCAGGGTGCTGGGGACCCCAGGGGTGGTAGATTCTGGACCAGACAGCGGCTCAAGCATCCCCTCCCGGGAGGGAAACCCTAGCACTGCTTGCTGATGACCTACCAAGGGCTCCCCCGTAGCCACCCCCATCCCCACCATCCTGGAAAAGGACCCCAGACAGCGTCTGGCTCCGCATCCAAATCCCAGTGACACAGCAGATGGCCCAGCACGGGCACGGGCGTCAGCGCGCCGGTCGCAGAGGCGGCTAGGGAGGGGGTCCTTCTCAGGGATGGAGGGCTCCGGCCCGCGTGGGGTCTGTGCAGCTCCTCTGGGCGCCCCAGCCCCTGCGTGGACAGTGACAGATGGGACCAGGGCACCGGTGGCACACCACCAAACATGCCCAGAGCCAGGGGACCTAGCTGGCCTCTGAGGGGAGCTGGTTTTGCCTGGTGGCACGAGGCAGCGCTGGGATCAGAGGCCCTGGGGCTTGTCACCTGCAGATTGCTGCCCCCACCTGGCGCCTGGGACTCAGCGGGGCGTTGGGTGGGGACAGAAGCGCTGGTCCCCAGGCCCAGGAGGCTGCCTTGGGGTAGCCTGCGGGGTCGGAGGTGCGCCCCCTGCTGGTGGACAGTATCAAGCCCTGCCCGCTGGGCTGGGAGAGGCCTGCGCTGCCCCGCCTTGTGCAGTCGGCACATTCCAGTGTCTTTATTTATTTTTGTAAGTTCACTTAACTTGAGAGAGAGAGAGAGGGAAAGAGGATGCCATGCAGGCTCCAGGCTGTCAGCATAGAGCCCGACGTGGGACTTGAAGCCCCAGCCATGAGACCATGACTTGAGCCACCCTGGCACCCCCAGATTCCATTTTAGAAAGCGGGCTTCCTGGGCCGCAGTGACTGCCCTCTGCTGCCAGTACCTGGGGTTTCAAGGTTCTTTGGAATCGCTGAATGACATCTCCACTTAGCCGTGGCTCGGTGGCCGCGGTCAGGTTTTGAAAAGACCGCTGACTGTGGGTGGCCGTCACATCTGCGTGTCCCTTGCACTTTTCAAGGAAACAGCAGCGAGTCGGAGGAGGAGCACAGTGCGGGGAGCATGCAGGGCCAGCCCTTCCCCAGTGCACACCGGCTGCCTGACACCAAGCTCCAGCCCCTGCACACCAAGATGGATGTCATCAAGAAGGGCCACGCCAAGGACAGCCAGCGCTACAAGCTGGACTACGAGTCCCAGAGCACCGACACCCAGAACTTCTCCTCCGAGTCCAAGCGGGAGACGGAATATGTGAGCGCCCTCCTCTGTCTCCTCCGCCTCCTCCCTTCTCCACCTCCTCCCTCCTCCCTCCTCCCCCCTCCTTCCCCTCCTGCTCCTCCTTCCTCCTTTCTCCTCCCCCTCCTCCCTCCTCCCCCTCCTACTCCTCCTCCCCTGCTGCTTTCCCTTCCTCCCCCTTCCCCCTCCTTCCCCTCCCCCCTCCTCCCCT